AAACAGATCAGCAGCAACATGATATGGTTTTTCACAGTGATTATTCTGGTTAGAGATTCATGAGTCTAACAGCCTCAGGGTAGAAGCTGTTCCTCAGTCTAGTGGTTCTACACTTAATGCTCCTTAACCTCCTTCCTGAGGGGAGTAGGGCAAAAAGTGTGTGTGCTGGGTGAGTGGGGTCCTTCATGATGCAGGTGGCCCTCTTCCTGCATCTGGAAGTGTAGATGTCTGTGATGGTGGGGAGGCTGATTCCAACAGATTTCTGTGCAGCCTTCACCACTCTCTGCAAAGCTTTTCTTTATTAGCCAATTATAAGGGGAGCCTTATTGTAAAGTGGTACCGGAATTTTTATTATGTAGGAACTATTTTATAGCGATTAACTATTTGGTCCAAATGTGTCCAATGTTTAATAATGTTAATCCTTCAGATGCGTTTTTTCCACAAATACATTTTTTTGTATATAGATAAAAATATATTATACTGAATAATACAACCTGATTTTGTCTTTAAAATGTGTGCGTATAATCCACTTGTTGTCTCAGAGGGAGATTATTGGTTTTTAATGCATCTTAAAAATGTCCAGGCTCACCGTTTGCCCGTGCCAGCCTGAAAAGCTCAAAACTAGAGGGGTCGACGTTCAAGCGGCGAGAGCGCCGATTTCGCTTCTTTGTCCGGCGTGTTGTGAAGTCCCAGGCCTTCTACTGGATCGTGCTGTGTTTGGTGGGCCTCAACACACTGTGTGTGGCTGTAGTGCACTACGACCAGCCTGAGCCACTTTCAGATTTTCTATGTGAGTAGGAGGGAATCACAAGCTCCAAAAATACACGCGTACTTTCATCACAGATTAGTGGAAGGGAGTGGGTTAGCAAAGTCTTCAGTAATCTGGCTAAATCTATGAAAAATATAACAAAATCACACATTTAAATGCAACCAGGTTATGGATTAAAAGAGTTGATCTGTATTATTGCTATTTAAAGAACATAATTTTACATGAAAAAGTACAAGTTATTATTGCAGCTATTTTTAAGCAATCACAAATTTTAACTATTTCCTAACCACAGTTAAAAACAAGTTGTAAGAAACTCAGCCTGCTTTAATATAACAAAGATTCTAATTTATAATTATTAAAAATTCTTACCCTTCTCTATTTCCCTTCTCTTTTCTTGTTGTCCTCTCCCCATGCAGTTTATGCTGAATTCATCTTTCTGGGAATATTCCTGACAGAGATGGTTATAAAATTGTATGGTCTGGGAAGACAGGCCTACCTCAACTCCTCATTCAACTGCTTTGACTGCATTGTAAGATCTTGCACTTCACACACCATATACATAATATTTCCAATATGTCCTGATGAAGATGTTTTGCCCCCAGCATGTATCTGAGTCACTTAAGAATAAATATTGGCCAGTATAGTCTCAATCTGATATTTTCAATATTTGTTTCCTTATTACAAAGTGTCTTTATTACATTACAAACATGCAGATAAGTCACTATAAGTACATGAAAGTTGTTCAGATCAGTGTGCTTGTGTGTTTGGCGCCACTTTAGCTCTACGTTGCAGTAAATAAATCCTATGTGCATATTGTTTTTCAGTTGTTATGTTATGTTTGTCATATGCAGGTTAACCCAAGGTCAACAATGCAGTAAAATGTTCAGTATGAGAAGAACCGATTCGACTCGCTAAAAAACCCCAACAAGAAATACTAAAGCATGCAATAAGCGTACAAAGTAAATTACCAAAAAAGTGAAAAAGAAATGCAATATTTACAAGTTGCTTATTATTATTATTAGCAACAAGCGAGGGAAAGCCAGGCGATAATAAACACTTTTAAAGCTCGAGCAGCACTGTGATAGTTGTAGCATGTTGTACGTCGGCTTCAAGAGCTCCAAAAGGTGATGAAAATCTATATTTTCCACAACATCAATGGCAGTGTTTCCCCCACCATTATACAAGCAGGGCACCCATCAACATCATCAACAGAACCGAGCGCCCCGTCTACCGAATCCAACTGCCCCCTACTTTCGTCGACACTGATGTAGCACTAAGCTATCGGCGTGCAACACAGGCGCGCTAGCTAAAAAGCTAAAGACAACACTCACTCTGCCTCTTCCTCAGTACGAACAGCGCACAGCTCAGACGTGTCTCTGTCCTTGTCCCCCCGCTCGTCGACAAAAATCACTGGCAAGATGAGCGCCTTGCCATGGCAAGTTATCTAGGAGAAACTCTAAATGAAATGGTCATCCAGAGCAAATTAATCAGTCACTCGTTCTATAAATGCTTTTTGGTCCAATTGCTGTCCTGTGGAAACTTGTTGAGTGTTGCCCAGCCATGCTAGCATCAAGAGTTAGCTAGGTGAATTTAGCTGAGTGAACTTGGTGAACTCAGCCAAGCGTTTGGATTTTAAACATCTAACCAAATTGGTAATATTAAATGGACCGTTATTTCTACCACCATGAAAAATACCCCAATTGCAGATATAAGTTGCTACTGAACTGCTCCCATACCCCCATACTGCAGACATGTTGGCACGTGACTTTACATCTTACAGCAGCCATAGTATAGCATGGCACACCGCAGACTTCACTAATGATTACGTACACGTATGCACTAACATCTGACACAGCTTGTTGATGCATGCTCCTTATTTGTTCATTAGTTGAATAAATTCATTTTCACACTTGTTTGTGTTTGTGCCAGGTGATAAGTGGTAGTATATTTGAAGTACTGTGGTCCATCATCCAGCCGGGCACGTCATTTGGCATCAGTGTGCTCCGAGCTCTCAGGTTATTAAGAATCTTCAAAGTCACCAAGTGAGTCACGGAAACATTTGTGCTTCCTGTATTTAAACAAAGAGCATCATTTTACTTGCATGATACAGAAGTTAACTTGTGTCTACTCGTCAGGTACTGGGCATCGCTGCGTAACCTTGTTGTCTCTCTGCTCAACTCCATGAAGTCCATTATCAGCTTGCTCTTCCTGCTCTTCCTCTTCATAGTTGTCTTTGCCCTGCTGGGCATGCAGCTCTTCGGAGGACAGTCAGTACTTTTTCCTTGTCTCACCTCTCGTCTTAATGAACCTAATTTAATTTTCTTTCTAGAGACGGGCTTCAGTTAATTGCAAAGTTATAAGTCATTGTGGCTTTTTGCTCTCTGCCTCTGTGAGTTCCCCCTCCATGCTTGTCTTTTCATTTCATTTCTGCTTCCTTGTCTTTTTTCTTGCTAGGTTTAATTTTGAAAATGGCACCCCTCCGACCAATTTTGACACCTTCCCTGCAGCAATAATGACAGTGTTTCAGGTGAGCCGCGACAATGTTCTGATGAAAAGAAGATGATAGTGAGAGACGGAGAAGACAATGTCTGTATGAGGAAATTAATAATTTTCACAAAAGACTCTATGAAAATTATGGAATATTGCTTCTCAATTTCTACCCATCTTTAGTAAGAATAATTGTGAAAAACTTGCAGTGAAGGAAACCCTATTGTGTGGTCTGGTCAAATCTGTGAATGTGAGAATATTTGTGCGTGTGCGATAGATCCTGACCGGCGAGGACTGGAACATGGTGATGTACGATGGCATCAAGTCTCAGGGCGGTGTTAACAAAGGAATGGCCTTCTCTGTCTTCTTCATTGTCCTCACACTTTTTGGCAACTGTATCCTTTGAGAGTGGCAAAGAAAAAACCACACAAAAACACTTGGATAAGACTTTATGCATTACACTTAACAGTAGTCCCTCGTTTATCACGGGGGTTACGTTCCATACCCCTCACAATCATTGAAAAACCATGAAGTAGGAATATTGTATTTATTTTAGTATGTACAGTAGGGAACAGGGGTAGGGAACCTTTTTGGCTGAGAGAGCCATAAACACCATTTATTTTAAAATGTAATTCCTTGAGAGCCATACAATATTTTTTTTAACTCAATACAAGTAAATGTGTGCATTTTATGTAAGACCAACACTTTTAAAGTACAATAAGCCTCTGAATTATTTTCTAATAACATTGTTATGCTGTTGTTAATGGTGATAAATAAAATATTTCTTACCATTAATGTGACTACTGGTGCTGCATGGTTTTGCTGATGGCTTTGTTGTCTGGTTGATATGTAGTGAGGTTAAGCTTCATGCAGGCGTTGAGACTTCCATCCGTTAAACGTGATCGTAGGTTGGTCTTAATGTTCTTTAGATGTGAGAAAGACTGCTCACATGCATACATAGAGCCAAACATTGTCAGTACAGCAATACTCACACGCTGCAGTGTGTGGTATGTGACAGGAAGTGCGTTCCAAGTTTTGACAATCAACTGGTCCGCGGGTTGAAGTTTTTTCAATTCTCCCCACTTGTGTTGGCTCGCCAACTCTGCTTGCTGTCATGCAAGTCTTTCCAAATCTTCATTCAGTGACTTGAACTTATTCATCCACATGTCTGAGGCCTTCAGGTCAGCAGCTTGTAGCTCAAACTCTCTGACGGAGACATCGGGGATGTAACTTAGGTTGGCGCTGTCCACTGCACACTCTTGTGGACGGGTGATGAACTTAAAAAGATGAGTGCGCTCACGAAATTCTCCAAAGCGTGCTTTGAATGACTGCAGGAGATTAGATGTGAAGCCAGCTAGCTGCTGAAGATCAAGGTGTTGAGCAGGGTCACTTGCTGTGCATGCATCTTTAAACTCCCAGTTTTTCAAAGTGTAGTAAACGACATGTTTCAGTGTCGTCAATGAAGAGTTCTAGCTTGTTTTCAAATGCAAACACTGCTTGTTGAAGGGATAAGACTGTATTTCCAACACCTTGCATTTTCACATTGAGCTGGTTCAGATATTCAGTCATGTCCACGAGATAGTAGAACTTCAGGAGCCACTCAGTGTTAGGCAACTCAGGATGCTGGATGTTTTTAATTTCAAGAAAAGTCCGGATTTTGCTCAGACAAGCCACAAAACAACTGAGCACCTTCCCTCTTGACAACCAATGCACATTACTGTGCAGGAGCAGACCAGGATAATTATTCCCAACTTCTTCCAGCAGTGCTTTAAACTGGCGATCATTTAAAGCTCGGGCAACAATAAAGTTGACCACCTGAATGACCAGCGACATCACCTCACCAAGTTGCTCACCACACATCTGAGCACAAAGCGCCTCCTGATGTAGGATGGAGTGAAAACTTAGGATGGGTCTCTTTTCATGTTCACGAAGCAGTGCTACGAATCCTCTGTTTTTCCCCACCATGCACGGAGCACCATCAGTACACACTGAAATAAGTTTATCCATCGGTAGATTTTGTTCTTTAGCGAACTCAGTGAAAGACTTGAATAAATCCTCCCCTCTTGTTGTCCCTTTCAGAGGCAAAACAGCCAGACTTTCCTCACGTAGTGTGTCACTGACAGCATACCTTGCAATCACGCTGAACTGGGATAAATGGCTTATGTCTGTTGACTTATCCAAAGCGAGAGAAAAGAATGTTGCTGCATTTATGTCCGTCACTTGTGTTGCCTCAGTTTGATTTGCCATCATGATGGTACGATCATGAACAGTTCTTGCCGACAGAGGCATGTCTTTTATTCATTTAATTATCTTGTCTTTATCTGAAAAGTCGTCAAAAAGTTAATTGGCAACATCAAGCACGAATGTTTTGGCATACTCACCATCTGTGAATGGCTTTCCGTTTCTCACAATTGCTAAAGCACCAGCAAAACTAGCCGAATTCCAGTCACCTTGTCGGGTCCAAACACGGAGTTGCTGCTGACTAGTTTGCACTCTGCACAGTAGCTCTTCACATGCCTTCTTCCTGCTGTCCCCCACAGGATATTTTGATGCAAATGTAGCATGGCGTGTGTTGAAGTGCCGCTATATTTTTTAACGTTTCATAGATGCAATTTTATCATTGCAAATTAGACACAATGCAGAACTATGCTAGCTAGCTGCTATGAAGGAAATTTACTTCCTGACCACGTCACCCATGTACGTTACGCATTATCCGATTGGCTCCAGCCATCTGCGAACAGCTGTGATTGGCTCCAGCCACCCGCGACCATCTTTTATATTTTTATCGTTATTATGTTTTTTATTAAAGATTTGTCTGCGAGCCAAATGCAGCCATCAAAAGAGCCACATCTGGCTCGTGAGCCATAGGTTCCCGACCCCTGGTATATACAGTATAAATATTAAGGCTTTAGAAACCCTTCCCACACTCATGCAATGTTCTAAACTTTTAAACCTATGTAATTTTAACAACATGTACTGCACAGTAGCTACGTGGTGCAAACAAAACCACACAAAGGTCCTGATCGAGTCCAAATCCGGATGAGAAAAGTCCTGGTTAGCACTGGAGAAAACATTAGTCCTCCAAATGATGCCTCCCCACTCGAGAGGCTTCCTACTCCAGCAAGCAAAACTCAGATTGACAGATGATGCTGGAAGTCCAGTTCTGGTCCAATTCCTTGCCGGTTTCATACACTCTCTGCATCCACTAAGCACCGAAGTCACTATGAATAAGGACCAAACTTTTTGGATTGGATCAAAACTTTCCCTCCTTTTCAGCAGAAGGCAACAACTGGAAGCACTATTGGGGCTTTGGGGTGGGTTACTGTTGACTTCTGGGAAATGTAGTCCTTTTGAGTAGAGTTGCATTCAGGCCCAAAAAATCCGATCCGACCCAGCCCATAGCCATCATTTCCGAACCCCACCCGACACGATGAATTAACAGTAATCACAGGTCCGAAACCGAACCCCTCCCCCCCACCACCACCACCACCATTTTTAATTAAGCTTTGACTGCTGATATAGTTATTAACAGTCAGCGGATGTGCGGCTGAATGAAAGGGGCAGAAGATCGGAGCTGAGGGGGTGTTTGTCCTTTCATGGCCATCAAAGTTCATTAAAACCCTGTTTCTGCCTGCATTCTGCATTATTCAGACATAGACCGCTTGACACGTCTGCTTTAGGATCCCACCTGTTTGGGTCGTCTGCCGCGCGTGTCCGCTGAGTGCAGTGGCTGAATGAACGTCCATTTGGGCGATGGATCACTTCCTGGCAGTATAGTCCCATCTGAAGCTTAACTGAACTTTATTTTACCTCTTTCAAGGCTGATCTCGTGTTGAAATGGCCGTGTGCAGCTGGTGATTGTATGGCAAGCCATGTTGCCATATATTTGGATCACAGCTGATCTGCTGACGCAATCAAAAGCCCGACACCGACCCAGCCCGCCCATTCAGCACATTATCATGGCCTGGCCCACCCTGCATTTGGCTCGGGCTGGGCTTCAGGCCCGGGTTAGAAATGACAGCTCTACTTTTGAGTGGTGATGCAGTGTAGGCTTATTGAGAGAAAACTACGTACAAAATGGTGGCGCCAGTTTGAAGTTTTTGGGGGGGTTTTGTGGTAAATTTTTAGCTTTTTTTGTATCCCGTACTGTCCCAATCATGTGAGTAATATTAAAGTTAACAATCGTGTATCACGTACAATCTTACTTTGAAAAATTGCGAAAGAGCGAGTCCACAAAAATTGAATCGCGAAGTAGAGAGGGACTACTGTAAATGTCTTTTTTAGTCGAACCTAATGACCTCTGTGCTTACTTCAAATATTTTTATTGTAATTTGTCAGAGTTAGTATAAGTGGTGTTAGCTCCAACCTTCTTGTTTCTCATGCGGCCATTTTGCCAAGACCTATCATGCTAGACAAGTGCTCTAGCTAATTTGTTTATGGACATTTTGTGTGTACTCTTGTAAAAAAAAAAAAAATCAGTCTCCCATAAACTGGATTGCTTTTAACTCTCTGTTCAGACACTCTGCTTAATGTGTTCTTGGCTATCGCTGTGGACAATTTGGCCAACGCACAGGAACTGACCAAGGTAAATTACAGTGCACGTGAAGGCAACCTTTCTTGTACTTTAAACATCCAAAAATCACCCTGTATGAATAGGCTTTTTCTGTTCCTCTCATTTGCACTTTTGCCAGCTTCATTCATTTCTCACTTTTGATGCTTTTCCATAATCTCTCTTTGCAGGATGAGCAGGAGGAAGAGGAGGCTGCCAGTCAGAAGATGGCCCTGCAGAAAGCCAAGGAGGTGGCTGAAGTCAGCCCGCTGTCGGCCGCCAACCTCTCCATTGCAGCGTGAGTTTATGCTGTCTTGAATGTCAAACACTTTAGACAAGCACAAAGCACAATGGGGGAAAAGGGCAGCTTGAAATACCAGTAATGAACAACTTCCATCTGCTTGTACTTCTTCCTCTTTTAAATTAGAATATTCAACTAAAAAAGTTTAATTATTCTACGTCTCAGTATCTTTTTCCATTTTATATTATTCTGAGCATCATCATTGGATTCTGATTTTTTTTTTCCCATTACAAATCTAGTTTTTGATCATCTGTTGTGGGAAAGACTACATAACTGAAACGTACTAATAGAATTTACCACTAGATGCTTAATACAGCAACTGGTCAAAGAAAATTGTCACCTCTGGCTGTAAACAACATCAGCACACATATCAACACTTTTTTCTAATAATTTAACAATTTTGGAAGGTTTGGAAAACAATTTACAACAGAAAAGATATCTCATAAATCACTTACTGTTTTCATGAGAAATAATTCTGTTGACGTGTTTTAACCATAAGTGTGGTTTTATGGAACCGTAAGTTTTTTTTTTTAGGTTTTTTTTTATGTTCGCCCTCGGGCCAATTGGTGGCGCAACTGGTAGAGCTGCTGCCTCTCTGCGCGCAGGTCCCTGGTTCAAATGCCGGTCCAGGGGCCTTTCTGGGTGGAGTTTGCATGTTCTCTCCATGCATGCGTGGGTTATTTTTGGGTAAATGAACAACATTCGAAAAAACAAAATTACATTAAGCCAAAGCAGAAGTGGTGAAAAAACAGAATTACATTTTTAAAAAATGAATTACATTAAGCCAAACTGGAAGTGTTAGTTTTTTTTTTTTTTTTGTTTGTTTGTTTTGTGTGTCTGTTTTTAAACTTTATTAACAACATAAAACAGAACAATGTACAGTGGGGTCATTATTTGGTGCCTTTTGAGACCCCATGCCATAATGCGTGGTATATTTAGTTTAAAGGTGGGCTAATGTTTATTTTATTAATCTCATCTTATATGTTTGACTCCCCTCTACCTTAAAGCACAACCATATGTACACGAGATTAATTTATTTAAAATAATTAAATTTAATTTTAAATGCAACTTGGGTTTACTGCTATGCCCTCTTTCATGCTTCCTGAAATTAAGTTATAGTTCTAATAAAAATAAAATAAAAAGTCGTTTTTTTAAATAAATTTTAATAGTACTATTTATAATAGTTCTCACCCATTGATTTTTTATGATATTAAAATATTTTTATGCTTAAATTATTAAAAATAAATTGAGTCTCTGAGTCAACTTTCCACCCTGTTACTCTAAAATACCTGTCACCACTTTGGCTTAATTTAGTTTTTTCACCACTTCCACCTTGGCTACTTCCACTTTGACTTAACATAATTCCTTTTTATATTTTTACCCCTTCTGCTTTGCTTACTTTTGCTTTGGCCCTTCCACTTTGACTTAATATAATTTTGTTTTTTCACCACTTCCGCTTTGGTTACTTCCAATTTGGCTTAATGTCATTTTGTTTTTTCAAATGTTTTTTGACACCTCAGGGCCACCGTAAAAATACCTCATATGCCAGATTACCAGTCAAGCCCTGCAACCCCCCCCCCCCCACACACACACACACACACACACACACACACTCACTTACACATCCTGCTCTGGTCCAGCTCTCCTCCTGTCAGAGTCTTTGATCTCTTCTCCCTGTATACACGGGGGTCTTTCCCTTTGCTGCTGGTAAAGTTCACACACTCCCACTCATGCACACATACAAATACACACAAGCTCAAGACACAATATGGTCTGCACAGCAGGGAGACTGTAGTCATCACAGGTACACACAGTCGTGACCCTACCGTCTTGGTGCATCAGGCACACTCATGCCTCATACAAGCGTCTTATAAAATCAGAGCCAAAACAAACGCTAATATGTTCATCATTTCATGAGTTGCATTTTATTTTTTTAGAGTTTTCAATGTACTGTACTTGATTGTAGAACTGTAAGTGTTTATGTTTGTGTATTAGTAAGTTTATTTCACATTTCGATCCTATTCAGGTTAAAGTTGTATTTTTTAATGCTGTGTATATGTCTGTGTGAAAGAAATGTGCCAGTTTGAGTTTTTTTAATGTGAATATTATATTTGTATATTGAAACACTAAATGTACCCGTACATTTTATTAATCTGTTGGACTTTGAGTATTGATTTAAATTTTTGTTCAACTTCTGGGTGCCTTTCTTTCTACTGTTTCAGTGTAAATCCAAATCCAAATTGTTCAAGGATTTGGTAAATCTATTGAAATTTTAGTGCAGAAAAGTCCTTGTTTTTTTTTTTTTTCAACCAGGGATTTTCAACATGGAGCTACCAGTGATGCATGAAGAACTTAAGAAGATATGCTGTGTTGCCCCTAGAAAGAAGGCAGCCATGAAAGTTACACAAAACCCAGAAAGATAAATAAACGACTCTGCAGGAAAAAGTCATATTCTTAAATAAATTAAAAAAACCTACCTTCAGTGGTTTGTGACTTTTGAAGTGGATTTCTGTGGAGTAGTCATTGATGCTCAGTATCTTACCTGAAGTAGGTAACTGTCACAGCATTGGAAGTGTCAAGCTAACAGCTAGTCTGACTGGGGCCTGATTTCAGCCATATCAGACAAAATTTGGGGGTGATTTTGGTGTGAGTTCTGTACAACTAGAACAAAATAACAAAATCTAAAATCATAGATTTTTTTTTTTATGAACCATAACCCTTCCAGAAATAATGACAGTAAAGCAAACCACCATTGGAGGATCTAAGGCAGCAGTTCGTGTACAGAAATGTAGGATTTGTCAACAAAATGGTGTTAAATTAAATGAGTGTCAACTTCTAGCAGAGCCCACCTGTCACTGTTGTTTTCATCTAGTTCATGTACCAACAATATAACAGTAATGCTGTGTAGAAATGCAACACACATAAAAGGTAAATGGACTGTACTTATATAGCACCTTTCTATCTAATCAAGATACTCAAAGCACTTTACACTACAATCTGTGCCTCATGTACCCATTCATACATCACTCTACTAGATCTATACAAAGCTAATTGAACAAATCATTCTAAAGAGATTAATCAAATATTTATCATACTGATGGGACACACATCAGATGCAATGAGGGTTCAGTGTCTAGCCCAGGGATACTTCAGCATGTGACCGCTGGTGGAATCGAACCCCCAACTCTCCCACTGGAGGACGACTGCTCTAACCACTCAGCCACTACTGCTCCACGTATTGTTTGCTTAAACAGTTGTAAGACTTCTGTTAGTTCTGTAAGTTGTTTAAAAGGCTGAAATATGCTTTACAATAGGCACATTTCATTAGCAATTAGCACAACTTAAAAAAAAATAATCAAATTCACATCATTTTATTGTTGTCTACTGCAGGTGAGATATTGACCACTGATCACTTCTCCACAAAACCTCACTAGAAGAAAAAAAAATCCATGATGCTAAAGAAAGAAAAATCCAAGTGGTAACAGTAGAAAGCATGCGGTGTAAGTACCAGATTGAATTTGTGAAAGGACAGCACAAATGGGACTGTCTGTAACTGAGAGGTGAAGCCGACTGCACAGTTGGTTGTTTATGTGAATGTTTAATGTAGCTGTTTTGTTGTGTCTCTACATGAAGGATGGTATTCCAAAATGCTGAAACTATTTGGTAAAAACATAAATGGAAAATATATATAAAGTTGTTTTTTTTGTTTTTTTTTGCATTTAGGCCACACAAACAACACACGCATGTGCGTGATTTAGTTTATTTTTGCAGTAATTTTTTTCAGTATAATCACTTTCTTTAGTGGCGGAGACACCGCTCATTTTGGAATAAAGTCTTTCTCCTGTTTTACTGTGTCATCTCACTCACTAGCTCTTTCCCTCCTCAGCAACAAAGTACACAGTGAGTGTCACAACGCGTCCGACCCCTTTCTGGACTGGTATTTATTTATTTATTTGTTTATTCATTTCCGGATACCTTCTGTTTGACTTTACAACCATTCCTTGCTTTCTCTTGTGTTTTAGATGAGCCCTCTTTTCTTTTCCTTTGGTTCTTAACTTTCCTTTACAAATTACATTCCAGGCTTCTTTTTTTTTTGCTGTTGTTTGTGTTGGCTTAATTTTTAATAAGTTCTTATTTATTTATTTATTTTCTGTTCCTGCTCCTCGCAGCACGGCTGTTGCTTTATTGTGGTTGACTGCTAGCTCTGAGAGACAATGGAGTTATTAACCCTCCTGCTGCCCTTGGGTCAAAATGACCCATGAGACCTCAGTTTTGTAACTGATGCCTCGTGTGGATAGCTCTTTGAAGACTTCAGTTTGGAGAAATAAAGTTTAATTTTGACAAGCCTGAAGAGCTAAAAGCTAATCTGAGTAACGTCTGCTACCTAAAATGACGCCAATCTCAAAAATATTAAAGAAGTTTGTGCAAACCCAATTTATAAACCTTTACATTGCCATTAGTTGCCACCACTGTTTGCACTTGCTAATAAACAAATAATTATATGAGAATAATTGTGTATATGAAACTGACAGTAATGTAAAGGTTTATAACTTAAAGAGGACACAAATTACTATGAAACGTTGAACAGAGAAGTTGTTTCAATCAGCAGTGAACTTTGGTCTTGACCTCACTCAGGCTAATTGTTAGCTTGTCAATTTGTTCCATGTTAAACTCCATTTTTCCAAACTATGGTCGATCAAAAGGCTGTCTACAACAGGTAAGATAACAACTGTTCATAACTTGTTCATAGAACTCTACTTTAAAAGTTCTGTACCATCTCTTCAAGTTCTGCTGAGATCTCTCCTGTTCTGTAGGCCCAGCCAAATGACCCTTACATGTCTGTGGGTCCCAGTGTGTCTCTGTTCTGGCTATTTTACATACTTACATGTTTGCTGTTGGTCTTCATGTCATCATGCCCATGTCTTTGTGTGTATATTTTCACATCAAGTGTTAAAGCAGGTCTTAATGGTAGCAACTCTCTTTTTTGTTCTCTTTGCTTTATCTGCAGTAAAGAGCAGCAGAAAAACCACACTAAAGGGGTCAGTAAGTCAGTATGGGAACAGCGCACCAAGGAGCTGAGAAGGCAGACTCTGGTATCCAGCCGCGAGGCCCTCTTCAATGAGTTGGACCCTGATGATCACTGGAAGGCAAGGACAGGGAGGGAGGAGCACAACAATGTAAAGGACAAGGCAAAGAAAAGCCTTTAGACTTGTGCTACCAGTGTACACAAGATGGCTGGAGCTTAATGTGACTCAAATAAACTGCAGTGTTAAAATTTGCTACTTTTCTATCTAGTTAAAAAGTGAAACTGATTGTTGAAGTTTAACACATTTAGTCCATCTTCGTTTATTTTGTGTTTGTCTTGTGTTTTTTTTTTTTTGTTCTCACAGGTCAACTTTTCACGTCACATCCGTCCAGACATGAAAACTCACCTGGATCGTCCGTTAGTCGTCGACCCCCGCGAGAACCGAAACAACAACACCAACAAAAACACTGCCAACAATTCAGACCTCTGTGTCACCCAGCACCGCTCTGCAGACGAACTTCACAAGCAAACACAGCTCCAACAGTACCACAGCCAACCGAGTGGGGGTGGTGGAGGAGGTTCAAGCCCCCCCAGGCCTCCGCTTGATCGAGGGGAGTCCACAGAAAGTAGGCGAAGCCGCAGAGGTGAGCACCACCACCACAAGTCTCATGTCCGATTGGATGCTACGGTCATTCCCGGTCCTGGCTCGGAGGAGAGGCCGGCCAGACGCCATCACCACACCCGGAGCGGCAGTCAGGGCGGAGGACAGTCGAAGCACAGGAAGCCCAGGTCGCACAGAAAAAATGCGGAAACTGGAGAGGATGGTGGTGGAGAAGGAGCTGGAAAATCAGGGAAACATAGGAGTAAAGGAATAGAGGGCGGTGGAGAAGGAGGTGAACAGGAGGGAGCTGGCGACGGCAGCGAGAGGAAGCCGAGAAAAAGTCGGCACGGCAACCAAGACGGAGAGGGGAGGAGAATGTGCCAGCACAGGAGGAAGTAAGTCCCTCTAACTTCCTCTGAATCCAAATGCTTATTTCTTCTCTAATATTCCTCCTAAATCACCATTTCTAATTATTTATCTTCTTTGTTAACTTTTTTATCTCTTAAGGGAATGCAGTGTCCCAAACCTCTCCACTACCCGACCCATTCAGAAGAGCCTCTCTAGACAGAATAGTCAGTACAGCGAGGATATGGACAACCTCATGAATACCAAACTGGTTTCTGGCTCTTCTCAGCTCAATGAAGGTCACAGTAATCCTCTTGCCAATCACACAGTGGCCCCTGGCTTTGGTTCTGCCCTACATCTTGCTAGAAGTGGCACTCATGGAAGCTTAGTTACATTAGATAGCTATGGGAACATCGGACATCACCGTGCACACAGTGTGATTAGGCTGCCCCACCCTGACTACACAGCTCTGGACATGCCAATATTCCCATCCATTAATGCCATACTGCAAGGTAAGGCCAGAACCAAGATGATGTGTTTCCTGTTGTCTGCCTCTTCTTAAATAACAAACAAAAGAAAATTTTGCCATGTCACCCTTTAAATTTTGTTCTCTGGTTTTGGTCCAGTTAATAAAAATGCCAACACTGAGCCTCTTCCAGCAAAGGAGGATAAGGATGATGACGATGATAAGGGAGGTGAAGGAGGTCCCAGGCCCATGCCTCCCTATAGCTCCATGTTCATCCTGTCCACCACTAATCCGTAAGAGATACATAAACACATACTGAGATAAACAATGGGTAAGGTAATGAACAGTGCAGCATTTGTCTCATGCTGAGTTCACCTTTGAATTCAGAACCTATTTGATTTTTTTTGAAGGGGTAAAATTGTCGAGCAATTCATACACTTAAACCCTGCACTCAGACTCAAAGTTAATGGGTGTTCAAGGCTACAAGCTTTAGATGATTAGGGGATAAACATTGCTTCATCTCTGCATAACATAGGCATGTTATGGTTATGGTGGTGAACTGGTCTATAATCAATACTAAGACCTTTTTATTCAGAGACTGAGCTATAATTACATTTAAAAAGGAGCCAATGTTACCCCGTTATTATTCACACTCACCTAACAGAATCAGATTGTGCCACCCCAGAGAATGCTTTGAAATAGCATTTTGGTTTTTGCAGAATTAGGCCACATTCAGTGCAACAATGCGAGGCTGGTGAGGTCTCAAAAGCCCAATAACTTTGTCCCCAGGTTTCATCTTTGTACAATAAAATCAAAGCAGCAGGAGAAACAAATGTACCGTTGGTCTTTTGTAGGTTCTGTATAAATTAGTTGACTTCCAACAGCAATATTTTCAATGAGACAACCCAAGGGATGGAGTTAGATGAGACACTAACAACTCTGAGATTTTATGAGACATGTAAGGTGTATAAGATATAAAGTTCTTTACAGCTATTTAATAATTTGGGTTTTGTTGTAGAGATTCAGCATTTTAACTGGAGGAAGTAACAGCACCATTTATAGAGTAACTTTAACTTATATACATTCTAAATGGCAAAACTAATAAAACCCCGTTTCTAATTGTATTTAGACATTTGTTTGTAATTTACAGTTTAAGTGCTTGTAGATCCTGTAAACAGGATACCTAAAACAGGAATGTGGTAAACTGACGCAACAATAAATAATCTATGAAAAAGTAGAAACTGAACTCCAGTTCTGTTGATTATACTGTACCTGCAAAGGGGGTAAGTTTTAAGCATATCACTTGTGTTTAAAAAAATGTACTTGTGTGCTTCTAGCTTTCGGCGAGCATGTCACTACGTTTGCACTCTACGTTATTTTGAAATGTGCATCCTGCTGGTCATTGCCATGAGCAGTATAGCCTTGGCTGCTGAGGATCCCGTCTGGCCTGATTCCCCTCGAAACAATGTAAGAAAGCCAACTTAATTTATTTCTTTCCTGCAGGAGTCAGATATTTTTATCAAAGTTTCTTCTTGTCAGATGTAGCAACGAATAATTATCATCTTTATATCTGTGCAGGTACTTCGCTATTTTGACTATGTCTTCACAGGAGTGTTTACATTTGAAATGCTGATAAAGGTGAAGGCAAACTAACAAATTAACAATCACCATATCTGAGATGCCATCATCTCTTTATAAAGCCCTTAAGTTGGTTGACTTCTGTCTCTGTTTCAGATGGTGGATCTAGGGTTGGTTTTGCACCAGGGCTCTTATTTCCGGGACTTGTGGAACATCCTTGACTTTATAGTGGTTAGTGGTGCTCTGGTGGCCTTTGCCTTCACGTAAGTGTCCCTCCTTTCCCTATCATGTCCTTGCTCCTGCACCTCTTTCAACTTTACCATTTCCTTGAAATCCTGCCTCCACTGTTCCTCTTCTTTATCACATATGGTTCATTTGGGGTCATACACTTCCTTCCTGTTAGTTCTTCGTTTTGTTTTTCTTCCTATACCATTCATCTCCACTCATACTTTTAGCAAATATCTTTTTCTTGTCACCTATCACCTTGTTAGTTTTCTGCTGTTGTTATACAAACGGCAAGTCCTCTTATTTAGCCATTTTCCCTTATTTTTGTTTGTTTCACGGCCATCTTTGGTCCTGTAGTCCTTCCCTTTCTGAGCTCCTCCACCTTTAAAGCCCTCCCCCATCTGCTTTATACCCCTGCAAATAAAATAAAAAATAGTGTCCCAGCTTCTCCCTCCTATCTGCCTTCTCTCCCCTGTGTGAGAGGTGAGGACCACCCTGTGCACCTTTAACCCTTTAGCGCCCAGGGCATTCTAGAGTTAAACGGCCCAATGCAAATCCAGGCCAGGTCTTGCTGAACTTGGTTCGAATAATCTTCACACCCTTCCTCCTCGACAAAGCAGGTACTTTAAACTCTGATTAATCTGCATGAGAGTTTGAAAATAAAAAATAGTTTGTAAGTTATGGTGGACATTAGGTTATTCTATACTGTGTACAAAAATAGAACTTAATGATTTAATGTATAAAAGCGGCAAATTGGTGAATTAACACCTGTTTTTCCTTTTTCCTTTTTTTTTTTTTTTGCTACTCTGGATGTTGGAAGATATGTCATTACTACTTTTATACAGTCACTTCAATATATGAGCAAAAATTTTATCATTGTAGTGTTAAGTGAACATACTTTTCTATGGCAATTATGTTTAAAAAGCTTTAAACTGCCCTCAGTTTGGAGAAACAGAGTTAAACTCTGACTGGATTGATGAGCTAATGGCTACTCCAAGAAGTAGGGCCAAAATGGATTGCTGCCATCTTAAAACATCAAAGTAAAAAAATGATAATAATAAAACTGTTTCATGTGAATGCCAATTAATACCCCTATGCTGCCACAATTGGCTGGTACTGGTGAACCCAATGGTGCACGCAGGCAGGCAAGGACTCAGGATAGATATATATATAAAATAAATAATTTATTAACAGAACAAAAAGAGCTGACGGGGCAGCAAAGCAAATGTAGAATGAACAGGGGGCTACTCGTGATACAGACCAGTGAACAGATAACAATGCCAGGGCAAGGACTAACACAGAGACACAGAGTTATATACAGGAAACGCCAATTAGACCAAGTGAAGACAACTGTGAGTAATCACAGATGCCAGAGAAAAAGACAGAGGAAGCAAGACATGAACACGATACAAGATGGGTCTAGAAACTAAAGAAACACAAACCCTATAAAGATAGAAACAGAGGATCAGGGGAAACAGACATAAACACGACACTAGGGACAAAACCACAACTCCTACATATACAGTGCAATCCAGCAGCATTACTTATGGAGTTTTATGGTTATTTGCTTGTGCATGTAGTGGATGTAGTGTTTCTAGCACAGCCTGGGCACTGTAAATTGAATGCCTCTATCAAGCAAAGCAGATGAACTGTAAAGTTTGTTATCTTGTAATTCTTCTAAAAAACAGCTACTACTCTTCCACCACATCCAGTAGGCCTCTCTGTGTTAAAATAAGTGCTTCTACTTGGATTTATGTATGGGGCATGTCCTCCCATCACCTGAGTAATATGCCTCTCGATCCCCTGCCAGATGACAAATTGCCGTTTTGATGTGGGTTGCCCCGCTGCCTGAATCAGACTCTAGTCTGGACTTGGCTGCCCACTAAACTCTCCTCCACATGTACGTGACTGCCTGCATCTCAAAGAGCGAGGTCCCGGTTTGCTCTGAGGGCTGAACAAGGGTTGACGGATGAGCCGAGCTTGGAGGTTTGGTGTGACGGGGAGTATGCTGGTGACTCACAGTTGGATTCTAACTCTGGTGTGGTACAATAATCTTGCCACAACTTAAGAATAATATTTACACCATCAACTATGAGTATGCTGAATACACATATCTGTAGCCTATGCACACCTAATTACCACCCATCAGGTTTTAAAATACAGTCAGTGTTGTCACTGGATTTGGTTTCTGTCACAGCTCATGCATAGTATCTGAATCATTTTTATAAGTGAGTGTTTTTCACTAATGTTCTCCCTCCATGTCTTGTTTTTCTTTGTGTAAGCTTGATTAGATATGTGCACATCTATCTATAACTTTGTGTTCTTCGCCCTTGTTGCATTTCATGTGTTTATGTACAGTATGTGGGTCAGTTTAGCGTTGGGATCTCTTCTGTTGCAGATTAATTACTTGCCATAGAAGTTTTAAGGCTAAATTAAAGTATGCAAAATCATACTGTGATTATATTAAAGGTTAAGCCATTTATTAAGAATTTAACAAATAAACCTGTTTTAACCACAGTCAAGCTTTACTACACCGATGGCTAATGGGTAGAGGGAACCAGTCAGACCAGATTCATTCGCATCAAGATAGCGCTTTAATTCAATTGCTGGAAATCAAACAGCGCTCTAGAAAGGATCAGTAGTCCTGTTGGAGATGTTTATCACTCCTTTAATCCAATCAGTCCAGTCTGAGAACTCCACTGTCTTTTGTCATTTTTGCTGCCGTCCTGCTTATTTCTGCAGTTTAGTTCTTGTCCAGACTGGATTCTGATCCTACAGGGATTCCTCAGCACTCATCCCTTCGTTTTATTCTACTGTATGTTTAAATAGGTTTTTTATGCAGGCATGTTAACCTAATAGTTTATTCATGTGCTTTAAAGGAACTGCTAATGTATATATATATATATGTATTCTGTGATATTTTGCCTGTTGGTATGTGCATCTATCTTTAGTGTGGTAGCAGTAGTCTGTTAGTTTTAGGCTTGATCTGACAGCAAGATTTTGTTTTTCCTTTTACCCTTACTCTGTCTCTCATATGGATGTTTTACCTCCTTTCTTTGTGTCCCATTCTGTGTTTTTCTCCCGCTTTTTGTCTTTGGTCTACTCCCTTCCTTGCTGTCTTTCATTCTTTTCTCACTTCTTCATTTGGATCCCCAACAGCGGCGGCGGGTAAAGTTTTCTGTTCTTCCTTGTCTTTCTCCTCCTCATTTCCTTCTGCGCTCTTCACATCTGTTCTTCTGATTACCGTCCTGTTCTCTTTTCATCCATCCAGCATAACAGCTGAAAATTGTCCTTATCCATTGTTCACCATGGAACTACTCTGCTTTAAATGCAACTAAACTCGTATTAACATGCATCATATCTCAGCTGAATCACACGGAGGCTAAATGACTTTCTGTGCTAATGGAATGCCTGCCACAACATATTATGAATGAAGTATATGTGGAAAAAAAAAAAAAAATTCAAGAAATACAGAATCTTATAATAAAATACCTTGAAAAGGATGAAAATAGGACAAGAAACTGAATGCTTTACATAGATGCCACCATGCACACTGAGTCTCACGCTTGTAAGTAACCACCAGCAGTCTACCATCTGGTGTGACATCTGGAAGAACCAAGCAGCTGTGAACCCAGCTGCTGTTTCCTGAAAGGACCATTTTAGCAACCTTTGAACTATAATGTCCTTACGTCTTTTTTAAAAAAGTGTTTAACACGTACACAGTGCATATTATTTGTTTACAAGTATCATTGTGTAACTAACCATTCAAATATAGTCTTGTGATTTTCACCAAAGGTTTAACTGGCAACTAATCAGGAAATACTGTACAGTCCCATTGTCTTGGCTAAAAGCTCTTCAAGACAAGATTCCATGTTGTTTGAACAATGCTGCAAAGCAGTTAATCCTAGTTGTATTTTAGAGCTTCTAGAGATGTTGACTCATATAAAGAGAGGGTTTGGCTTTTGATTAAAGTGTTTACCTCCTTGAAAAACAGTGATGCTACTCAAATGTGACTCACAATAGACAAGAAACCTTTTCTGTAAGTTCAATTTTTAAGGGGGAAGTTTTCTTTTCATAGCTAGCTATGAAGTCAAGCCTGATGTTACAGCTAAAACCCTCTCTAAAAGTCTCCATCACTCAGACTGCTGCTAAAAAGAAGGACTATTGCAGCATGGAAAGCAAGGTTTCAATGCAGCATGAGTGTATTTCATCATTGGCTGGGCATGTTCAAGCCAAGGCTTTAGCCACATGTGGAAAGCATTGAAATATTTTGCAAAGTGTTTTAACAAATATAGCTACAAAACAGCGTTCCCATAGGGATTTCTGTATGTTAGCAATGTACTGTCGTTTTAAAGTATCATCGAAACTTAGCATGTAGCTACAGTGCTGATGCCACACTTAGAAATAAGACTGACGTGCAATATGATAGCAACCCTGCATGTGTTGCTATGTATTTAACTCAGACGCAGTTACTCACTTTGAGTTAACTCGAACCATCAAGAAATGGCGGCCCACGGCCATTTTGGAATCAAAAGGTCTAAGGTTGTTTTATATATATATATATATATATATATCTGAACCTGCTGACGCTGAATTTATGTGTATGTACATGCTCACATGTAGGGGGAGCAGTAAGGGAAAAGACATCAGTACTATCAAGTCTTTGAGGGTTCTGCGAGTGCTACGTCCTTTGAAGACTATTAAACGTCTTCCCAAACTCAAGGTATGTTCGCCTACGTGTTGTTTCTCCTCAGGGTTAATGAAACAGTTCTTGAGTGGGAGGTTTGTTGAGATGTTACCAAGGATCAAAACAAATAATCTCGTTTATTTATTTATTTATTTATTTATTTATTTATTTATTTATTCTGTAACCAATTTCTTTGCCTCTGTTTTTGTCTTTTTTTCCACCCTCAGGCCGTGTTTGATTGCGTGGTGAACTCTCTGAAGAATGTGCTGAACATCTTGATTGTCTACCTACTCTTCATGTTCATTTTTGCGGTGGTGGCTGTGCAGCTTTTCAAGGGGCGCTTTTTTTACTGCACTGATGAATCCAAAGAGTTTGAGCGTGACTGCAGGTCAGGAGGAGCAAGTTATAAGCATCTGTGTCCTGAAGTGTTGAAATTTGATTTCCCTTCATACATTTTCACTGCGTTATATTGGGGTATTTTTTAGTAGAAATGTTGCTATCTTTGGCATCTGCTCAAAAAGCCAATATATGAAAGCTGTTTACTCAAACTGATGATTTTTCAGAGGCGAGTATCTGGTGTATGAGCGTGATAACGAAGTGAGGGCGCAGAAGCGGGAGTGGAAGAAATACGATTTCCACTATGATAACGTGGCTTGGGCCCTTCTTACCCTCTTCACTGTTTCCACTGGAGAGGGGTGGCCGCAGTGAGTATACAGTAATAAGCACAGTCTCCTACAGTGCACTCATGCTTTCTGGCGTCCTATAACCTTCTTGTGTCTCCATCTCCACTTCTGCAGGGTGCTAAAACATTCAGTAGATGCGACCTACGAGAATCAGGGCCCAAGCCCGGGATACCGGATGGAGATGTCCATCTTTTACGTGGTGTACTTCGTGGTCTTCCCCTTCTTCTTCGTCAACATTTTCGTAGCGCTCATTATCATCACCTTCCAAGAACAAGGAGACAAGATGATGGAGGACTATAGTTTAGAAAAGAATGAGGTGAGGAACAAAAAGGGAACGCAATAAAAGAGTTAGAGGAAAACTTAAACAGAGATTAAACTCACACTTTTTCCTTTTTTATTTTTATTTTTTTGTACAGAGAGCCTGTATAGACTTTGCCATCAACGCCAAGCCTCTGACACGTCACATGCCTCAGAACAAGTTGAGCTTTCAGTATCGAATGTGGGAGTTTGTGGTGTCACCACCTTTTGAATATACTATCATGGCTATGATTGCACTCAACACGATAGTGCTGATGATGAAGGTAACATTGTACAAGCTGCAAACATTAAGATAGCATTTGTTACCTGTTGAGATCTGGCACTAGCATGTACCCTGGTTAATCTGAACGCAAGTGAACCAATCTAAGCTTGAGTTTTCACACCGGGCAGTAAAATGCGTCCTGAGTTAAGCATTGTGATCAAATGACCTTCTTTATAAGCAAATAAACTCTTAAGCCTGTTTCCCAAAACATTTTCAATCCAGGCCTGAGACACCTTCTCGTTTTGTCCTCGTTTATGTAAAGACCAAGACGGTATGAGAAGGTTGAAGTCAACCAGCTGCTGTCATGCCTGTGAGCCACTTAGTGAGGTAGTAAAAAAGCAGAAAAGATCAAAACATGTAAGAATCAGGAAGTGAGGTTGTGAAACCATGCAGTTAATAAGTCAGCAGCTTTCATGGAATCATAAGTCAGTAAGTGGTTCTTCACTGTGGTCCATAACAGTTTTGATATAGGCTATTAAACAAATGTGGATACAACTATAAAATACTGATTCTGAATGTAGTCAGGGGGATCAGATCTAAATAAGCCTACCGTCAGTCCCAAGTGTGTCCACACCTACATTTAGAGCTGTTTACTTGTGAAAGGATTGTCTTTGATGCAAGTTAGTGCCATGTCTGAATGAGGCCTTAGATTTTTGGCTGTTTCTGTGTTCCTTTAAATGAAAACACACAATCAAAGCAGACAGATTCCAACAGTGCTGTTCGATTCTAAATGTGTTGAAATATATCGCTTTATCCTAATTTTTGCCCGTGTTTAAATTAATGCACATTTGTCTGTGTTTATGGCATGAATTAATGCCCTCTCTGTGTGTACGTGTGTGTTTGTTTATAGTATGACGAAGCTTCTCCCACCTACGAAGCTGTGTTAGCCAACCTGAACATAGTGTTTACCTCCCTCTTCTCCTTGGAGTGTGTACTCAAGATCATTGCCTTCGGAGCTTTGGTGAGTGGAGTTATTTGTGTGGGCCTGTGTTTTGAGAGGATAAACTGCTCTACCGTAACTTTGTAGAACTGCTGAAATTATAATTAGATATTGTTAACAGATTTTGTTGATATATATGTATATGATCAGCAACAAATTGCGTTCAGTAGAGGTCCACGGCAAAGTAACTGGCAAGAAATGAATAAAATAAGTTCATGTGGGAGGAGATCAAGGACAGAGGGGGAGCTGTAAGAAAGTAATTAGAGGAATGGGAGTGAATGACAAATTTGTAGCAAAAAATAGAATCAAGGATTACTCAGAGGGTGGCGATTAAGAGAATGTGCTTCAACTGGATCAGCAACAAATACTGTAATACTGTCCCTCAGGAATGTCTGTCTTTGTGTGTATGGGATATATTTTTTAGATAGCCACCTCTCTTGCGCTTGTCCCGTGCCCCCACATGTCTAATGCACAGTTTGGCCACAGGCAGAATGATGGAAAGCAAATGGAGTGCTTGTATATCATCGTTTTGTCCTTACCATCCCACAGTCTTTCTCTTTGAGTCACTCTTATTTATTACAAATCACACATGGCAAAACTTGATCATGCTTGTAGATTTGTGTGCTGTATATGCATGAGTAGAAGAAGATGTAGGGTAATGTATACATTGTGTGAGGCATTGTTGGCTGTTTTCATTATCTGATGCAGCAGAATTTGTCCTTAGTCTGTCTGCTGGCATCCATCCACAGGCCTTCACTGATGGTCTATTTGTCTTATCTAATTTCTTCTTGTTCCTATCCAATTCTGACATGTCTTTTTTCACTTTCTCTCTCTCTCTTTTTCTCTCCAATGCTCATTTTGTCTTACTCGTCTTTTTTCTGCATTTTTCCCCCCCATTTTAATATAACCTCATTCATGAAACATTCATTCCCTTATTATTTCAATATGGTCTGCCATATGATATGATCTTATGGTTTCTGTCAATATTTATATCCTTTGTTCTTTTCTACCTTTCTGCTTCTCTGCCACATTCATATTTTTCTGCTGTTTTTGTCCCCTTGCTGCATTTCACCTAAATTTTTCCATTTCTACCCACATTTTATTTATCTTTCTCTTGTCATTCACTTGTTCTTGTTCTTCTTTCTGTATTTTTTTTTCTTCATATTTTTATCTGATCACAGAATTATTTCAAAGATGCCTGGAATATTTTTGACTGTGTGACAGTTCTGGGCAGCATCACTGACATCCTGGTGACAGAGCTCGGGGTAAGTAGCACAATATTAGATATTTGTTTGCATGTGTGTGTTTTAAACAGAAGAACAGTATGATAATAAATTAAGGAGGGTTCCACGAGTGAAAACTATTTGGCGTGCTGCAGCGTGAACTTTCCCATCTGTCACATATACAAGAGAAGGCAAGGAGTAATGGGAGAGCATCAGTTAGACGCCACCGTTGACTCTAGCGTAGCTCAGTCATGCATGTCCACATCTTGAAAGGCTTATATAATTGTCCCAATTGGTGGGACGGGAATCCAGCTAGCCAAGTCTGAGCAGCTATCAGCGAGGCAAGAAGAATCGATGCCAGAGAGCCAGTGAACAGCTTGTCGAATCAGCCAATCATGTCATCAGCTTGTGTCAGATGTTTAACGAGCACTACAACTAACATTGTGAAGTTCCCTCAAAATTGTTCCTTTGCAGCATATTCATAATTATAAAAATGGGAATAAAAAAAAAAGACAAATCCGTTTTTCCCATTCAAATGTCTGTTCAGAACAAACTGAAATGCCCAACAAAATAACAGGAATCTGTGTGTAAGTGCACATGTCCCATTTGTCGTGTATAGTTGAGGTGAGTGTCATTATTAAGAAAGTGCTTTGATTTGTTCATCTGTGAAGCTGTGCTCATTCTGAACGTCGTGCCTTTTGTGCTCAGATGCAACAGAGTTGTGCACAGTTATGAGTAGGTGTGTGGATAGAAGTTTCTCTTGGCTGGTACAAACTAAAGTCATGAGGTTACAGCTGGAGCTAAAAAGCACATTTATCATTTGGCCTAAGAAATCACTGAGTAAATGTTGCAAGTTAAAAACCAAAGAAAAAGGGATGCACACGTGTAGACTCGTCGGTTTGGACTAAATTCAGCTTAGCAATGGTCAAAAAATGGGCCGGAGAATACAAATTTATTTGTACCGCATAAACAAATTAAAATGTGTTTTTTGTGTTGCTAGTGGTTTACTTAGTAGCAATTAGTATCTTACCTGCTGTAGACAGTAGTCAGAGTGATAGTTGAAGATGTTAATTTGACTCACTGCTTGCAAGCTGTCATTTTCAAATGCCATTTTCAATGTTTCCAATAGTTTTCAGAAATAGTATTGTGTTTTACAAAGATGGAAAACAACACATAAAATAATGGTTTTAGAAAAATTGCATTTCCTTGTGAGCAAGGCCTTAAGCAATCTGAACTGTAAACCTTTATTAGTTGAACAAGCTTGTTAATTTTACACCATGTCAAACTGTGTATGAGACCATTGTTCATGTTTTCAGTCATAAAACATCAGTATTGGTAATTGATACTCTATGTACAGAGACTGCTTAGTGTAATAATCCATTCATCAGATGTGACTAATTGCACCATTTTAATCTCTTATTTGGGTAGATAGGCGAAAACCTCTATAAAACATCAGTAGGATAATTTAATCACAAGTGTAGCAACACAAATTTTGTTGGGTTGAGAAACAAATGTCCCATGCAAAAGTGGTAAGGTGTCACATGGTGAATATACAATACTATAGCTGAAACTAAGGACCATTTTGTAGCTGTTAGCCCATCTCACCCATGCGAATACTTCCTGAATCTTCAAATCAAGCTAACTCTGTCTGCCGTCTAAAGCAAATAAGATATTAGCCAGGGGTGCAACAGTGCACAGAAATCATAATTTAGTATACTGTGTTTTCAAAAGTTATGTATGGTTGGGCACATTTTTAAGACAGCAGAGGGATGATACCAGATGTTTTGCATGCTACTGTTTCTATAGCCCTGGATTTCCATCAGTCATTTATGGTATTACTTGCAGAACTCTTGAATGAGTTTTGAACAAATTTGTACTTTGTTAAATAAGGCTAGTAACTAGTAACTTACTGGCTAAAAAGCAAATGATCTTAAACTTGGTAACAGCGCTCTGTTATGTTTTTACATCTTTGGTACTGAGAGCAAAGTATAACCAGCATGTCAGGAGCTATGTTGTTCATTTTGCTTTGGCCATGTCTTATTGTTATGGGCAACTTTCACTCTCATTGTTTTTTTTTTTTTTTCCTTATACCAGGATTTGCATTTAGGTGTATTTCTGAATAAGTGATGAAGCTCTATGTTGAACAATATTATTAACTTTTCCACCCATCTTTGTTTATTGTCATTGTAGTTATCAGTTGTGTGTAGCGCGCACGTAGCTCTCTGCATGGCGGAGCTTCCTTTGCTACTTTTTCAACAGTTTAGTTCTGCACATTAAACTTATTTATTGCACACATTGATTTCATACCTGGGTGCCAAACTGAAAGACCTGAACCAGAATTTTTTTACATCACTAGAAGTGACTACTGCACAACCCTGCCTAAATATATACTCTATATAAATAATAATACACAATGATTTTACAAGCTTCTGTTATTGTCTCGGGGCGGATGGCTTCATAGAATGTGATAACTTTGTGTGGAATTCTGGAATAGGTTCAATCCAAAACCATTTCAAGTTTCTACCTTTGAATAGCAAAGTCAGATTTTTATGGTATTTGCTGTAATAATGCTTCAGAATTATGTGATAATTATTTGATAATTGTTTACCATCGGTGTTATAAATACCAATGAATCAAGGCACTATGAAAAGGCATGTTTTTTTCATAATTTATTTTTTTTATTTTATAATTAATTCTTGGGATCCTGTTGGGAGTTTAGACCTTTTTTCCAAGTCCTACTGCCTTTTTTTTCACCATAAGAAGGAAAAAAAAAAGAAAAGGAAAAAAAAGGGAAAAAAAGAGAAAGAAGGAAAGAAAAAAAAGTCCTACTGCCTTGATTCTTGGTATCCTCCATGTTGTACAAAAGCTATACACTATCTGTTACTGTGCTGATTTGTCTCTGTTCTATTGGTTTATGTCTTGTTTTTGTTTTTTATCTTTTCACATGCTTTCTTTAAACCGTCCACAAACTTAATGACGACCTTCTGTAATCTACTTTGCCCTATCCCTTTCTCTACCCCCTCCCTCGACTACTTGCTGTGGTTCTGCCCAATCAAAATGCACTATGAATCCTCTGTGCCCACCTCTGACAACTGGCTTGGTCAATCTGTCTGGTTGCTCTTCAAATCAACCACAAATCCCAAACATTTGCTGCTATAAACCATATCTGCAACATCCACATGTAGATGGTTTGTAATTTTTTTTATTTTGGAGATCTTATTTTGCTGCATGTGTTTTATCTGCATTCCCAGAAGTGTTATGGCTGGGGTTTGTGCATGCCGAGCTTGACTACATTCACCCACAACAGTCATGCATCCTTTACTAAGAACAAACTCTTAGTTTGTAAAGGGTTAGACTCCAAAAACAGGTGTAGACTGCTACATCTATTCATTGAAATTAGCCCTTTCATTATCCAAGCTTACAATGTACACAGTCACCCACACACCGGTAGTTTTTCTCTGCCAGCAACACGGAGTCCAAGGCTTTGCTTCTGGCAGAGAGAGCAAATGATGCATGATGACCCTTGCATGTCTTTGGCAGGAACCCTTTGATTTCCAGAACACACATGTGCACACACCGAATAATGCAGCATATGCTGTACAAGAAATAAAACTTGCATGTGCTGTAGCCAGTTCCATTTTTTAGTGTCACACTGCAGCGTTTTCTTCTTTACTGTGGTAAACAGTAGAAGAATACATAATGTACGCATAGGGTTTTTGTTAAGCACACATCAAATCAAAGTAAATAAATTAAATATCACCTTTTTCGTTTTTGTTTGTAAGGTGAAAAATGGGGCTAAAAACGTACAAAACCACTCCACAAATTTGGATTTTGTTGATTGCATCACTGCTACAATGTGTCCTATTGATGCATGAGCTGCTGGTAAACTGCATGTTTGCATCTGCATGACGTGGGCTTGCCGTTTCTCAAAAACTGCATCTTTGCCTTGAGAGAATTAGTGCATTTGGTTGTCTTTCTAAGACAATGTTCTGAGAATCCTGCACTCAAACGGTTCACTGTTTCTACCACAGTTACTACTAATAAATATCCCCTAATTGGATGAAACTAGTTAGATTTGGATGTTTTTCCCCCTGTGTTGCATTGTTTGGTTTTGTCTGACCTACTGGATATGAAAAGCTTGTTGGAGCCTTGCTGACTTGAGTTTGCTTTGACTGATTTGACTCTTGATTATTTCATTTTTATTGACTTTGAATCTTCATAAGTTTGATCGTTCCCCCCTCTGTATGTGCTTTTTGTTTTGGGTACCTTATTTGCACAAATTGCAGTGTCACTAACTTCTCTTTCATTTTATTCCAACCCCGAATCTTCTCCTCTTGTCACCCCACTCTGCTTTCTTTTTTCTCCCCTATTTTCTTTCCTAACTTCAACTTCCCCGTCTGTCTTTATCTCTGGTCATGATGCTCCTGTGCTTTAGGATAATTTCATCAACTTGAGTTTCCTGAGGCTGTTCAGGGCAGCTCGTCTCATCAAGCTGCTCAGGCAGGGAGAAACCATCCGCATCCTGCTCTGGACCTTCGTTCAGTCTTTCAAGGTTTACTCCCAATTACACAGCATAACACATCCTGATATTACAGGCACTCACATGTGCAAACAGACTGCAGGTTACAAAACTGTTCACACTCTATGTCAATCTTTCTATTTTGTAGACTTGCAAAATGAAATTTTAAATAATTTTCACTGTGATTATAAGTACTAATTATAACTAGAAAGTTCCTTGAGAAACTTTGACAGGACTGCCATGTGGCGGCCAATTTAAAAAATAAGTTTTTACTGTACTAAAACACAAAGTTTGTTTTCTCAGTCATCCAGGTATATAACAACAAAAAAGGTTGAATCATGTCATCTGGACTTCGTTTTTTTTGTTAAAAAGAAACGTTTCGCCCCTCATCCAAGAGGCTTCGTCAGTCTGAGGCCTAGCCATCTGGTATTACCCAGAAGCCACCCTGACTCTTGTGTTTCAAGCCTGCCTCAGATACCCCTGAAGTCTGGCCTTTTCACTAATGGTTTCAAAAACACAAAGTTTGTTTTCTCAGTCATCCAGGTATATAATATACCTTTAACTTTGACTAGTTTTCCAGTCCCTGCTGTAGAAAAACATTCACACAGCATGATGCTGCCACCGTCATGCTTCCCTGGTCTTGTCCTTACTGGACAAAAAGTGTAATATTAGTCTTGACCACATCAACTTCTTCAATATTGTTGGAAAGCACAGTCTACCTTACTGTTTATTTTACTTTATCTTTAATTAATGGTGTTTTGTTTGTTTTCCTGGCCACATTTATTGAAAGCCCATTTCTGTTCAGTTTGACTTTTAAAGTAAGTCTGCATTAGGGGTTGAATCGACTAATCGACTAGTCAACCTGTCGATTCTAGGACATCTCGCGAGTTTTTATGTTTTGCGTTGACTAGTCGCAGTCACCACTGCCTGCCCCACTGTTCCCAGCCCTATTCCACCCAATCGACATGGTGGATTAAATAAAATAAAACTAAAAACAGCAGTGCGGTAGAGCTGTCATTTATAACATGGACTCCACCACCACCTGCCCCGCTGCTCTTAGCCTTATTTTTTACGTGTTGCACGTTTCTTTCACTTTTGCAGCTTAATAATAGTTTTGGCTGTGACTTATTTGCAGTGGGATAAATGGTAGGAGCATAAATATATGTCCAATGTTTAGTTGTTCCTTTTCAAAAAAAAAATAAAATAATAAATTACCTTTTTTTTGCAAATATGATATAGCGTCTTGAGTTCCTATGACGTCATCGACTAGTCGACGTAGACTCGACTTTTATCATGTTAAAGTCTACTTTAAAAACATGTAGTTGGTTAACCCCTAGTCTGCATATGCAAATGAATGCACAACACGTTTACTTTTTTTTACGATCTAAAACAAGTTCAAATTCTCACTTACCGGCTTTAATCTGAAGTTTATTTATTCATTTATTTTAACAATATTAAGTATAATCACATTTTAAAATCCCATGAAATTCCAAGTTGACTGAAACCAAAGCAACAATTAGAAGAGCACCAAGGAGGTTAATACATTTGAAAACCACTGTAAAACTTGGCACTGGCTAAATACTAAACAATTAATGTGTGTCTCCTCAGGCGCTGCCTTATGTCTGCCTTCTCATTGCCATGCTGTTTTTCATCTACGCCATCATCGGGATGCAGGTGGGTGAGAGTCGACCTCAAACTTCCTACGGTGCTTTCACGATGCATTAAATAGATTTATCCAAGTAGACGTTATGAGAGGAGAGGAGGAGCAAGATTATGGAAATGACATCAGTAGTACTGATAAATTGTTTAATATCTTAAACAAACTCATTGCAAACTAGAAAAGCAAACACAAAAAGTTGTGAGCTAAATCAAATGGTGCAGTTTTAAGTTTACTCCTGTAGTTTTCTATATATATTCATTTGCAATTTTGGAATGCTTTCAGTGTAAACAAAGCACTCACCTGAATTTGCCCATTAAAAACAAACATTTAGACATTTAAGCCACGTGACCGACCTATACTAAGCTGGCTGTAGCCTGTGCAGGTAAACAAACATGGCAGAACCGGACATGCATGGAATCAAGAAAACATTTAGAATATATGTAAGTAAGGAGACTTTATTTTCATTTGCATCACATGTGGTACATGAGGTGGAACGAAATTGTGTACTCAATGT